GCTGCACAGCATTAAAACAAAGCCAGAGTGCAAATTGTTCAGAAAATCTGCAAGAGAAAATGCAAATTAATTTCCACCCACTACTGTTATGCAAATACTAGGAGTTGGGCACATTGATATTTATACTGGTATATATACTCATTCTCCAGTCATTTGCCAATGATCCGTTGCAATGACATGCTTTAATTAAAAGAGTCAAACTTCAAACTGTGAAAAACTGTGTGGAAAACATGACGGAAATATGAGGTTTGTTTCATGTGTCAGTTTGAAGAAGGTTAACGTCTTCACATCACTCTACGCAGTTCTGGCACTTTTTTCTACGTCTCTTCAGTGGTTGGCTCATTGGTTAGTGCTGGAATTAGTTGCTCCATTTTGTTAATAATGGTCTTGTCAAAAGAGGTTAATCAGGCAAAGCCAAATCCAAAATGCTGTAAGGATGGGGACATGGAACACAGTTCACGAAGTCTAGTTTGACCGATAGATCCATGAGCTTATCAGGAACAAACCACTGCACACCAGTCAGGACTTCACCACTCTGGAAGGGTATCACTGCAACAATAAATGTATCTTTCATCACAAAATAGGTAAAGTAAACAGTAGAATACATTTGTTTTAATTGGAGATAAATTTGCACTATGGATAAAAAGTTTCAAAACTCCCAGGGAAGCATTTTAAACCCAGTACTGCACAGCATAATTCACTTCTTTGCTGTCCATCTGTATGCACTTAAAATCAGCTGAAGTGATTCTGATGGGATCAATAATGGTCAGTATTCTCTGAAGTCCATCTTCAGTTAGTAGCGTAATGATCCCCCAGAGTTTCTCTCCACCAAACCTTTATTGCTGAAAATTCTGGGCTTTGACAGTTCTTTTATAGCCTATTCTTATAGCCCCTGTTGTGAAGGAAGAATGAACACTCCACTTATCTGACAATGTGTGCTTAGAGATCCAGAACCTTTGTGCAGAAAAGTTGTCGCCATCAGTATGAGTTGCCATCCATGCTGGAAAGTCTTCTCACTCAAGTGTTTTTCAAGAGAATTTTGAGTATATTTACACACTCCAACTCAAGGCCTGTTTTATAGATAAGGAAAGGCATCAGTGAGACACAAATGTAGACTTCAGTTGAACAATGTTTGATAGCACCTTTCACATACTTATGCTTGTACAGTTGGCAGGCTATAGAGGGCACATCATTGAAAGGCACAGCTTTGTGCAGTCTTGCTTTCACAAGCCTTAAAAGCTGTGCTCTTGCATGACCTTGTCTTCTCTGTCTTTTGAAACCTAGCAGACACAAGGGCAGTCTTTAAAACATTGTAGGTGGAATTTAAGGATACCCATTCTTTTGCTTCATTTATTTTAAAGAATGCTTGAGTCTGTGTGAGTGTTTCAGAATGGTTTAACAGATGCATGTAAAAGAACTGTGGAAGAACTGCTGAGTTGTGTGAAAGAAATCTGTTGAAGTTGTCTGTTTTTGAAGATATTGTCTGAGAGATGTGCTGTATGAACTTGTGTTAGTAGTATCTCCTATTTGTTTGCTAATTGGCGTATAACTTTACTATGAACTGAGGACTGTATTCTGGAGAGCTCTGTGGTGGTGCACAGCACGACTAGTTGGTAATGAAGAGAACAGCTTCATTTACTGAATATCCTGTTGAGCAATATGACAGGATGCTGCTAGGCACTGGAAATATGTCTAGCATAACATATTTTGCCATACTGTTTCTATTTCATCCCTATCCCTTTATGTAATATTTTAGGAAGAATTAGTCCGCCATGCAGTGGTTAGCTTTGTTGCTGCACAGCTAAAAGGTTCTGGGTTTGAACCTTGTGGCTGACCGGGGCCTTTCTTTGTGGAGTTTGCATGTTCTCCCTGTGCCTGGCTGGGTATTTCTTCCTCTTACAGTCCAAAGGCTGCAGCTTGGGTTGATTGGTGACTCTAAATTGCTCATAGGTGTGAGTGTATATCTGTGTCAATGACCTCAAGTGGACAACTGAGAGACATCATCATTCACACCTGTTTATAAACATGCGTCTCTAAGGTGCCCAACAAACCACTTGCGCTCAGGTTTCATTACTACTGCTTCAATTCCACAAAAAGCCATGCACAGTTATTATGTCAGCCTGTTGCCAGATGAGTGCCAGTAGTCTCCCTAACCAGAGAGGAACAAGAAGACAAGTACATGGACGCATTATGAAAGCTGTTGTGATACATTTATGAATTTATATTACACATTTCTCTCCATCTTTTTCTTTTTCTGAGCATTGGTACGCTCTTGCATAAACAACCACTATGTATTTTCCTGCAACGTCCTTGCCGTGGATGCGTCAGGATGCATTAGCATTAAAAGATACAGTATGTGGTCAAATGCATCCCAGCTTACCTCAGCAAGTGGTCAGAGTGATATGATACTATGATTATAATAGATAGAGATTGTCCACCAGGCTTTAATGGTAATATTGCATTCAGAAGATCTTTATCATCAGTGATGAAGAACTGTGATTTGTATTTATGTATTTAAAAGATATTCACTGGATTAGTCCAAAAATAGATGAACAAATAACCCAAGAGTACCCAGTGTCTGTGTTTGCATGTCTGTGCTTCACTCAGTGATCATGTCTTTCAAACATAAAACTTAAAAAACAAATTTATCTTCCAAAGCTGTGGATTATCCCATGCAGCTGCTGCCGAACCCTCATCCCACCCCTGTCAAGAGGACCGGTACTTCCTTCCGACAGGTACAGTATTACTACAGTGTATGTACTCTATGTCAGTGTTTTATATGTGCATCTCAAACTTATGTTCTTTAAATACAAGCATTACCTCAGTAATACAAGCACTGCTGAGTGAACAGTAGTTATAGTTGCACACTTTGTTTGCTGTATAGTGTATGTATGTATGTACTATATACAGTCATAGCTAGAAATATGGGCACTCCTGCATTTCTGTCAGATAACTCACCACTTCTCTCAGAAAACTGTTGCAGTCACAAATTCTTTGGTATTCTTATGTTTATTTCTTTTGTTTGTATTGGAACAACACAAAAAACAGAAAAAAGCCAAATCTGATCCATTCCAAATAGAACTCCAAAAATGGACTGGACAGAATTATTGACACCCTCAACTTAATGTTTGGTAGCACACCCTCTGGACAAAATAACTGAAATCAGTCATTTCCTGTAAGTCCTGTAAGTGAATTTCTTCCACCTTTCTACCGGAACTTTGGGCCACTCTTCTTTTGCCAATTGCCCCAGGTCTCAGATTTGAAGGGTTCCTTCTTCCAGCTGCTGTTTGAGATCTCTCCACAGCTGCTCTACGGGATTTAGATCTGAACTCATTGCTGGCCACTTCAGAACTCTCCAGCACATTGTCTGGTGCTTTTTGAAGTCTGCTTTGGGTCAGTGTCCTGCTGTAAGACCCAACTTTCTGACACTGGGCCCCACATTGTGCCCCAGAATTTATTGGTAGTCTTCAGGTTTCATAATGCCATACACACAGTCAAGACATCCAGTGGCTGAAGCAGCAAATCAACCCCAAAACACTAGTGAACCTCCACCGTGTTTGACTGTAGGGACCATGTTCTTTTCTTTGAAGGCCTCGTTTCATTTTCTGAAAACAGTAGAATGATGTGCTCAACCAAAAAAAGCTTTATTTTAGTCTCATTTGTCCACAGGACATTCTCCCAGAGGGACTGTGGCTTCCTCAGGTAAGTTTAGACAAACTCCAGTCTGGCTTTTTTATGTCTCTGTGCCAGCAGTGGGTCCCCCTGGGTCTCCTACCATAGTGTCCTTTGTCATTCAGATGGTGATGGATAGTGTGAACTGACACTGTTGCATCCTGGTCCTGTAGGTCAGCTGCAATAATTTTCTGGGAGAAGTGGTGTGTTATCTGACAGAAATGCAGGGGTGCCAGTATTTTTGACCATGACTCTGCATGTGGTTTAAGAGACATTAAAGAAAGTGAAGCCCTCCAGATTACACACATGTACTTTTCTGGTATTGTGGAGGCTGAAAAGCTATTGGTATACACCACACCCTCTGTTTAAAGGTTTAATGTGTGTGGCTTATGTGTGGTCGTGCTTGTGTGTGTATGCATGGCTGGTTCTCAAACAGGGATAGACTAACAAAACTTAAGTAAACAAAAGGAAAGAGAGGATGAGTTGAGTGTGAAGACAAAAGGCCAGAAACACTACAAAGGTGCAACTTGCCATATCTACTGTGCATAACATGCACGCCCTTGCCCTTTGTAGCTACACCTGAGTGTGTGTAAGTGGCCCCACCCCTGCTGATCTGCTCTTACTGTGTGTTTAGGAAGCCAGTCAACCCTTGAACCTGACCTCCAAGCCAAAGGGGCTGGAGCTGGGGAAAACACACAGTCCACAGAGCCTGGAGTTGGGATCACTGGCACTGCAGGGGCCCTACAGGTCCAGAGATCTCCAGAGAGAAGTGTCTCGCAGTCCACCACGATCTGCCCTCAGTGAGTCACACTGACAGTTACACTGCTTTGATAGATAGATAGTAGGAATTTATGCTCAAGCAGAAATGTAGGTTACTGGACAAAATAGTTTTCATGTAGGCTAATCAGCAAGGAATTAACAGTTATATATGTGAGGGTGGGGGGGGGGGGGTTGAGAGACAGGCGAATGACAGACCTGCAGATAAACATTATGATGACAGTTTTGTGGAGATCATCACATCTGTCCACATCTTCTACAGTGAGACCATCGTTCTGGCATAACCTCTTTATTTTATGGTCACACCCAGTGCAACCTTTGAAAAAAGTCAGTTGCACATTAAATAAAACGGGTTACAACATGTCACTCACAGTCTGGAGCCCTGCTTTTTGTTTATAAAAAAGGTTACCTTTAAAGTCACCGTGTGTAGATTTTCTTTCAAGTTATTCAGAATCATTATTGATTGTGGTAGAATATTTTTTGCCTGTATGATTGTTGTCAGCCACCATGTTTTTGATTCTACCACTGGGGGGCACAAAAATGAAGCATTTTAAAATTCTGCACACTGCAGCTTTAAATTTAAAGGTGTGATTCTGTCATAAAGGTAAATGTAACTTTTTTTATTTTGTGACATGGAACCCAAGGCTTTTTCACTTGGTGTCTCCTAGCTCTTTGCTTAAAAACATCAAAGGAAGCAATACCTTTCACATGTCTAAGGCAAGATGAGAAAAGAAAATGTAAATTAGCACTAACAGCAACAGCCAACATGAATTAATAGACATTTAAGAGAGTAAAGAAAACTCAAAACTCAGTGAAAGAGGGCATAGGCTCCGTGCCACACAGACACACCACAGTAATAGTAGCTTGGCAACAAACATAGTTAACTTTCAAGAAGAAAATGTGGGTTTTCATGTTAACTATGCACAAGAAACACACTGAAGCTATTGAAAGTGAATAAAGTTACTTTACTGGATACTGATTATGTTTTTATCATGTATGTTTTTATTACAAGTTATTGTTGATACACATAAAGAAAAAAGGAAAAGAAATTAGTTTTTATGTTCAAAGAGCTTTCATATGTAAAGATTTCAAGATAGCCGCTTTAAGCATTTTAGTTTCCTTTGTGTCATTTTCTCTTTTTCATCGTCATCATTCTCATCTTTTCTTGATTATTTTTGTTCTCTCTCTCATCGTGTTTTTGTCTTCAGGTTTCCTTGGAGATGGTGATGTAGTCTCCCAGGCCATCCATGATGCCCAGCAGCTCCTGAGGAGCCACAGCAGCGGAGGGCGAGAGATGGAGAGAGACAGGGACAGGGAGAGAGACAGTAGAAAGATGGTGAGCCCATCCTCAATTTACACAACATTAACACACACAATCACAAGGTTTCTGTCTAGAGAACCTTTCAGAAATGCAGCTTGTTACGTTAATGGTGGCTAATGTCACTTCTGTGTAAAACACATTTGAAATTGTGTGGTGTTACTGAGAAGGTGTTTTATTTTAATGGTTCCACAAATAACCCTAGCTAACCTGTTGCTGCACTTAATGTTTAACACTAGTACATTAATTCAGAATAGCAAACCTGCATCATAGGTGTCTGGATATAGCTACTGTCTGTTTACTTAAATACACAATTATAGGTTTTTTTGACCTCTTGGTGGCAACAGAAACAAGCTGTGAACACATAATGTCATCATCTTTTAAGTTGCTAACTTGTTAGCAAACAGATATTTACACATCCAGCAGTTACAGTGCAATGTTATCATTATTTTGAAGCTGTGTTTTTGGTGACAGAGAATGTAAGTCCATATTCACTCTTTTATAGCTATGTTATTAGATGGGGAGCTGCAGAGTCAGGTCATAATTGTCTCTAGGTTCATCATTAGAAGTGACCCTACCATATTTTCACATTGTGGTTTAGCATTGTTATTAGAAAAATGCTGATTATAGCTCTTTAAAATCCACACCCATCAGCCAATCAGAATCATTAATTGTCTTTGAATTGGCATAAATTTGCATAGCATCCATATGTGTCTGAATGACAGAAAGCCATCACTTTAACGGATAGATGAATCCAGCAATATTACATATTTTATGTCTAAAAGTCCCACTTTCATCTTCAGTCGCTCACAGAAAACCTGTGAAACAGCATTTTGACTTTCACTGGACACTTAATCTTAGCACTTAACTTCAGAGTCAGGTTTTAGGTTACAAGGAGTCATAGTCCCCCTGAGGCTTTAAATGAAGAATACCCCAGCTGTGTACCGTCACACAGAGGAACACATTCTTACAGCATAGTACCTTTAGGTGTTGCCCTCTGGAAACCACAGTTACATAAAAACAAAGAAGTTATATCTGTATGTCCTATATTAGTAATTGAAAAGGAGCTGCATATTCAGTATGTCCTGGCAAAGATGGGATCTGCTGTTAGTGTACTTCTTTGAGAGCACAGTCATGTAATACAGTGAAAAAAGTACAAAATGTCATCACTTGACATTAGTAGCAAAATGGGAGGCAAAATAGAACCTAGTTCTTATCTCACATCTGTGTGGATTTATTTGTCTTTAGGTGCTATTAAGGCATCTCAAAATTACACAGTTGTCCAGAACCCAGTTGTTTGCTTTGGTTCATGTAAAAATGGCCTTTCAGTCTGGTCTTACTGTAGTTTTCATTCTTTGGGGAAGCTGAGGCTTTGGTCACAGCTCCTGGAGCAACAGCTGTTGCAGCCTTACAATACCACAGAGGCCTTAGTGTGGCATTGACTGAGCCACCTGCCCTCTCTCTTTGTCCACAGTACACTGTATTCTGTGGCTCTCCTCTTCCTCCCCTTCATTATCCTGCTTCGTCTCTACTGCTGCTTTAACACCCATACTCTTGACTGACCTATTTTGGTATTACACCACTGCATGAGGATAAATAATGTTTTACAGCACAAGAACGGATGATACTGTAGATAATATGCTGGTGGTGTGATAGTTTTGCAAATTCAGAGTTGTTACATTCCCATCTATGCCTTTTCTCCCTCACCTTCCTCCCTCAAACAATAAAGGCTATTCTTGCTCCTCTGAAGTGTTGTGCATTACTTTCTTTGCATTTACAGTTCTGCATTTAAACACCAGCTGATATGGCGAGCATGTCATTTCTTTACCTTAAATAGCACTCTGTGTAACACATGCGTGCCTTGAACACTGAGTCACCTTTTTACTTTAGTCTGAATTCAAATCATCTCTTTGTGCTCGAGTGTGAATATCTGACTACACCTGTCTTTGTGTTGCTTATGTGTTCAGGAGTTTAAAGATTCTTCTCGCAGCGAGAGAATTTCTCACTCCGAGCGGGGTGACGACAGACACGGTCTGCCGTCCACCGAGGACCACCTCAGCAGCGACTCTGAGGGTAGAGACTGTTTATTCCTCTTCATTGTTGGGCAGTAACATTTTAACCAGCTGTGTTGAATGTTTAAGGGACCTTTTTGACTGATAAGTTCACAGTTTTCTATTTGAAAGGCCGTATACTATACAAGTTATCAAAAATGTTTTATTGTTGTCCCCTTAGATTATCACATTGACATTTGAATATCCAAAAACAACTTCCACCACCGCCCCCAGATTGAACTGTGTCAAAATACATCATCTTCTTGAGGTTTGGTTCAAAAACTATAAGCCTCAGGTTGAAGAATGTGGGTAGGAAAAGTGAATCATAACTACACCTGCAATAGGATGTTTGGTGGTGAAACTTTTCTTTAAATGAGTAAAGGGTTAATAAGCAGGTGAATTGGAAGATATTCACCAGTTTTAGGGGTACAACAGAAAAGGTTAATGACAAGAAGTGTACCACTCCCTGTAAGGGACAGAGATATATTTAGGAATAATGCGTAACATTGTCTGACTGTACTCCTCTTTTCTGTAGGTGCTTTGCCCATCTCGGTCTCAGGCAGCTATGCTGAGGCCCGGCCCCCTCCCTCCTCGGGCCACATCAAGAGACCCATGAATGCGTTCATGGTGTGGGCCAAGGACGAGCGCAGGAGGATACTGCAGGCCTTCCCTGACATGCACAATTCCTCCATCAGCAAGATCCTGGGTGAGTCCAGCATTGGGTAGGGGTGGGTTTCACTCTGTGTCACTATTCTGAGACGCTGCCTGGCACATGAGAGGGCACGAACAGCCACCTGCTTCTGCAACAAGACACACAGACACACACACACACACACACACACACACACACATTGGCCTGAATCCATTTCTTTGAACCAAACAGTTACATTCCTTTCTATTGTGGAGAGCTCGTGTGTATGTGACACACAAAAACATTGAGATGTCAATACTATGCATGCAAATTATACATAATCATAGCAGTAATACACTTAAACAGAATCTTATTACTAATTACTTGTTACTCTCTCAATGTACAAAGTATTTTTAGATACACTCTACAGTAGTGGGATCATTGAGATAATATTTATAATATTTTTACAACAGCTAATGTCACATCTCTCTGTTTGAAGATGTGTTAACCACACCCTTACCCACAGATGAACTTCACCAGTCAAATTAACTTTAGTTTTGTATAAATGAAAATATTCATTTAAATAATTAATCTTCCTTTTGTAAATGAAAAATTGAACTCATAATGACTTGCACTGTTAAGTTCAGTACACTAAGTGGTTCTGCTGCTACAGACTTACTTGGTCTGGTATGACCAGAAACTTACTGACTAACATTAGCTAATGTTAACAAACTGAGCTAGATACCGCTGTGCAGCTGTGGGACAGTAATGATGAGGTTGCTGAAGACTGACTCCTCTCTACTTGTGTGTCTGTTACACTGTTTTAGCTTGTGAGATTTCAATTTTTTTTTTCTATGGCAAATGTCGTATTTCACCAGACCGCTATGCTAAGCCTATCTACTCCTGTGCTGTGCTTGTGAAATGTCATCACTCACAGCCCAAGCACAACCTCAACTCCATGTCTGTATTTAGCCAGTTCATGTAAATCAGGGCTTTTCAACCAGTGGTCCATGGACCCCTGGTGGTCTGTGAAGGCATGGCAGCTTGTCCCTGACCATATAATATAGTCAGTAATGCAGTTTCACTGTGGTCATCACCATTTTTAAAACACATTTCCATGTATTATTGTTTATGAATAATCAAAGTATGCAAATATATAACATTTAGAAAGGTCAAGGTGATTTTTCAGGACTAAAACAGTGCCCATACCATCTAGCCACCCCACAACAGTGGTCCTCAAAGTGCTTCTTAGTCAAAATGATGAAACCACTGATGTATTTTGTGATGGCCCATCTGAACTTGGGTTTGTAATTTTCATACCAAAACATCAAATATAATTTCTACTGTATATTAGTGGGATATTAAATGACTATTACTGTATATTATATAGGATAGTAACAGCTTGAAGAATGCGTTAAATGCATATTTGAGAATTTGCTTCAACCTTTTCAGAGATAGAGGGGCTTCTCACAGAGTGACTGGCTAACTGACCTCATCAACTGTCAGCATGACAAGCTAGTCAGTGCCTATGGTTATCCCAGTGGCACCATAGCATTTTAAAGATGTGATTTCTTGTTGAAATAAACTTAGACCTCATGTTCAAAATCTAATATTTCTTTCTGACCAATCTGTTAGTTAGTGGAAGCTAAGGGTGAAGTTCATGTTTTTATTTATTGTTAACTGCCAAGTAAAAAGTAGAATGTGCTGTAAAAAAAAAAAATCTAGATTTTGCAGGTATTGTACCAGTCACAAATTAAATAGATTTTCCAGCCTGCCCTGAGTTTAGACTCCATAGTTCAACATACCTGGTTTGAACCTCCAGAAACACAGGTGCACACTTACATGCTCCACCTCAAGAGCTGTTGTTGTTTACTGTGGTTCCAGTCCCGCAGTTGCTTCATCTTTCTTTTGGATTACAGATGGTGAGGAACAAAAGATAACTTTATTATATATCTGACATTTTAGTCAAACTAACTAAAAGAGGGCTTGACAAAAGGACTGGACTTTTTTTTAAGATTGTGTTTTGCCTTTTTTCTTCACTGAACTCGGGCAGGAATCAAGATGAGAAAGTGGGGCTTAACATGCAATAAGGTCCCGAGATAGACTCGAATCGAGGATATTGTGTGTTATCTATGCTGCTACTGCTGCTAGCAGGATGCCCTTTGAATGAACTTAAATTTAACTAATGTAATGTAACTAATTTTAATTAAAACGAACTATAAGAGGACTAAAATCAGACTTAACTGGAATTGGCAAAATTTGTGAATGACTAAGTGGGAAGCTAACAAAAAATCCTAATACTCAAAGTCAAAGCTAAAAAACATTTTCACTATCGTCCCTTGTAAAGCCTGACCTTCATCTGCAGTATAATATCTGTGAATTAAATCACCTCCTCTGTTCTTCCTCCTCCTTCTTGTTTGAATGTGTATTTGTCTTTAGGTTCCAGGTGGAAGTCCATGTCCAACCAGGAGAAGCAGCCTTACTATGAAGAGCAGGCGAGGCTGAGCCGGCAGCATCTGGAGCGCTACCCTGACTATAAATACAAACCCCGTCCCAAACGGACCTGCATCGTGGAGGGACGGAGGCTGAGGGTGGGCGAGTACAAGGCCATGATGAAGAGTCGCCGACAGGAACAGAGAGCGACCTACACTCACAGGTAGTAGCCAGTGCCTGCACATAGGCCACTGTGCTTCACTTTAAGATAATGTGAGAGAATCTGTCTCTGGCAGAAAACACTATGAATTCACTTCATCAGCAAGAGTTTGCTCTTTTTAATTCTTGACGATACAAACAAAAGTGGAGCATTGATACTGCAGCTGGGCTGTTTTTTGGTCCGTCTTCGACGATGAATAGCATTCCTCGCTATTGTTCCCTCTTAACTCCTCCAACTAGTTAAGCTGCAGGAGCTGGGGGGTGGAATGTTGGCTGATTTTGAGTGTTTTTCTGTTTCTGTGTTGTTTGTGAATGTTGCTTTTGAACTGAAGCCACTGCGAGGTTGCCTTTGTCTTACAGTCACAGTGACACATAATTTTCTGCTAAGAAGTCTCCATATATGAGTTTTTACATTTGGACCCATGGGACCGAATATCTGCATTATCGTTACATTTTATATTTCCTTTCACAAAAAGCAAGAGTTCAAATTTCAGTCAAACTTTAAACTTGCACCTGAAAACCGAGATAGGAATCAAACATATTTGTTTGTTTAAACTCTGATGAAGCTGTATTGTTTTTCAGATTAACAGAATAATCGGTGTATACATCCTCACCTCCATCACATGAAAGATAAATACATATCAGTAGAAGTTGATTCATGCTACTGTATATTCTCATTGTATGTGTCTTTCCAGTCAAACGGAGCCTCGGCAAATCCACTACTCCCACAACGATGCCCAGTACCAGGGCAGCACTGGCTCAGTCTCCGTGGCAACCGTGCCCTTTCACCCTGCATTACTGGAGCATTATCTGCCACAGGTCCCGGCTACTCCACGGCGAGCGGAGGGCCACACCACACCCACTTCCCTGTCCAGAGAGAGAGAGAGGAAACGAGAGATGGAGCAGCCTCTGTACAGTGAAGGAGATGAAAGCGACGGGGGACAGAGGAGTGAAGGGGAACTGGTGCTCCTGACAGACTGAAGAGGGAAGGTGGGTGGGAGAGGGATAAAAAATCCCTGAATGCCAAAATGCCTCCTCAATAAGGGGTTGTCACACTTATTCTCTTGTAAATTAGTCCATAAGAACCCTCCCCTGCACTAACACACACACACACACACACACATACATATTAAGGCAAGCTCTTACCTCACTTATTTCCCTTCACAGACATCATGTCATGGCCTGCTTTGTGTTACAATACAGAAGTTATATTGAAATTACATTGCATAAGGTTTATCACTTAATCCCTCATGCTTTCTGGTTTCTTCCCATGTTGACTTTTGGCAAACAAAATTACCTGCAGGGACTAGATTGATCAGAGGAAAGTGTTTTTACTTGTTGGACAACTGAGGGACCTTAGAGCAGCTGAGTAACTTCTCTCTGGTTGGAGCAACAGGCGTGTGTTTGTACTGCCCCCTCCTGGGTAAGGCTAGTTAATGCGAAATAAAGACACTGAGGAGGAGGAGGAGTAGTGCTCCTGTCCGCTAATTCTGACATAAAGTAAACAAGTGTTGGTAACACTGATATGCTTGCTGCAATATAGGCTGTTATATATCATTAAAAAAAGAAATCACAACTCATGCTTCATATTGTCTGGGTTTGGAGGGACAGAGTGATATGCACATCATAAAGATGGGCTATTTAAAAAAGCAGCAGCAGTGAAGACAGTTATGCCAGCACTTGAAAATGTATTCCAAAAGACATTGTTTCAATCCAAGTGAGATCTTTGCCAGGTTAAAAAAAGAGGTCCAATTAAAGGTGCACTTCAGTGATTTATTGATGCACTTCCACACAAATAGGGAACACAGAAGAAACAGATTTCACAAATTCAGAGACATAGAGGCTAAGATGCATATGTTGTCTTTTAGTCCTTAGAAGAGTTCAAGATGAAAAAACACCAGATTCTAACACGTCTCATAGCTTAGTCTTTCATTAGACCCCCTCTACCTGTTAAACGCTCACATTGTCTCAGACTTCATTGCCCATTTGTGACGGGCTTTCTGTTATAAACTTGCAATCTTTAAATTCAAGCTGAGACTACCCTGATAACATCAGCAGGGTTTTTTTCATACTTCAGGAGAAATTTCTTCAGCACCACAGAAGACATTATGGACATTTTTACAGCCTGAACAGTATGATTCAGCTGAACTAAACGCATAAAATTGCTTAAGTTCCCCTTTAAGAAATTAAATTAACAGAACAGATTTGTCAAAAATTGGTCACTTTAAGCTGATAGTTAATCTTAATAATTCATCAAACCCTCCTCTCCCTCGTCCCCCCGCATCACACTGTTGAGCTGCCTTGTATTACGCCGTACTTGTGTCTATAAGTTCCCTCTCCATAGCACAGTGGCTTAATCTCAAGTCTTACCTGTTTTTTTTAATAGCACTGTGTTTGCTTCTGTGAGTGTTTATTGATTGCCGTGTAGCACACCTTCTATCTATGTAACTGAATGTCTGCTGTTTTTTCAATGGTCATGTGGCCTTCAGCAGAACCGCAGAAAAGAAGTCTTGTAAAAGATTTTTTCAGCAATCATGTTCTTGGTACTAGTGCATCGGGCCTTGTTCCAAGATACTGACATTCTAATATTTTTACCCAAATTTCCTAAAGCTGCCTTCGAATTAGTTTCAGATTTGAAGACTGAAAGTAAAACTAAATGGCATTTTTACAAAAACAGAACAATCAGCTTCATATTAGCACTAAGGTGAAGCCGATCTGAATAGGCCTAACTGCCGTCTTCACATTTCATCCTTTCATATCCTGTTCCACAAGCAACCAACAAATCGCTAAATCTGTGTATTTTAGATTGGCGAGGGAGCTGTTGTTTATTGGTGGGATGTAGCTGAACCCCCCCCAATGTGATGATATTGTGATCCCTGTAAGCACTTAGCATAGACCTATACTATGTTCTTTGACAATAAGGCTGCATTCACTGAGGGATGTAATTAATCTTTCTGTATGCTGGTTGATTTAAAATATAGGATTAAAGCTGGAAGTGTTTTAAATACACACAAACTTATATTTGGATGCTGTTAGCTGTGTGGACACACATGGCCTGAGACACGAAAACCCACCTGACTCACCAAGACCATCAGCTTTAGTCATTTAATTTTGTTTGTTCTCATGATAACTGGGAATTCCTGAGTTTCAATATTAAAACATGGACAGCTCCATGCTAACAGCTTAGCATACACTTTGCTAAGTGCTTGTAAATTCAGAACTTGCCAAAATAAGGTAACGTAGAGGCTCTAAAATGAACTGTAATTTAATTTGTAAAAATTTGTACATTTTAATAAAAAAAATAAGACAAGAAAGTGTTAATAACTGGCTAGCTACTACTCATTTCATACTACCTGTTTCTAAGGTAGTGCTGGGGTTTTGTGCATCCCACAATCACCCCTCAGCAGATGATGTGGTTGCATAAAGTAAAACATAACACAGAGAGTTTCGATACAAGTTGCCCGATAGGACTAAAACATAGCGTATCTTACCCTGGGGTCAATCCACTTTTAGCTAACTGAAAGTTTGACACATCAAAATGGCAGGAAAAGACAATTTTCACAATTCGGGTTTATGTCGCATCCCATCTAAGCACGGCCAGGGCTGTGTAGAGTAAAGATGCTGGCTTCTGTGTACAGAGATGGATTATCAGAGGAAAATGTTTATCCTATTTTAGTAAAGACATGCTGAGGAATCACCTGTCGTTACCCCTGCTGATGTAAATAAAGGAAGAGACTTTATTTTGTTTATAAGAGCCTGTGTAATTTAAAGGTGTACATTTCTATGTTTTCAGAGTTTTTTTTTTTTTCCTTGAAAGCCAATAAATTGGTTGTGTTAATTGTGTTTGGTGTGTGTGTTTGAGTCATGGTTGTGTGAATCTGTCCTCACAGGCCCTGGCTGCTTCTATAATTACTTGGCTCCATAATTTAGTTCCCAGAAGGCATTCCCAGGGCAACACCTCAGCTCTTTTCGGCTCATCCAAACAATTATATCAGCACGACAGCATATTCTTTCGTGTACTTTTCTCTTATATGAGTAAGCAAATAAAGCAGACCTATTAAATTGTTAAACACAGCTGTAACTAGTAACACTAATTACAGCTGCAATCCAATAAGATATTCCGGATCACTGAAAGTTGTCAGTGTTTTGAGTTACACTTGTGTTTCTCCTGTTCAAAGTGCTGCAATCAGGACTGTGTGAGTATGGTTTGACCAAATTTGAGTGACAGTAGCGTGGCAACACAAGAAATCAACCCACAACTGTCATAAGATTGTTTCAAATATTGCTAAAATCGTAACTGATGTACTGAACTACAATCAGCTTTTTCTGAGTCTCACCCACTTCAAACCAGAGAGAAGAGCACAGAAAAAACAACACTGATATAAATGTGTGTGAAATAATCCAAAACATTCTGTGGCTGAAAAAAAAGTGTTTATGTTTGGTGTCAACTCTGAACTTGTAGAACTATCAGTATCTGGGCAATAGTAGTTTAATTCTTGAATGGCAAATAACTCAGCTTTTATTAGACTCCATTAAACATAAGGTGCAGGTGAGTGATGGTACAAAAAAAGGCAGATGCTGGGACCACCACAGTGTCGGCCTGTGCATGTACGTTTTGGCAGTATGTCCCAAAGCAGATATTTTCTCCTTCCTTCCTCTCATCAAGGCTAAGGGACAAGGTCAGTAGGCAGAGAAACAAACAGAAAACTGGCATGTGAGCAGAAGAAAAGTCACACAGTATAGTTTCACAGATTCCCAGCAGTTGAGACCAGAGAAATCAAAAGTACACACACTGTTTATCATTTTATACAGTTTAATATATTTGATTACTGACAACTGTTAAATCATTTTAAATCAGACTCAATAAACAAACCAGAAAAACTGTTTAAAGGACCCTAAAAGGCCCAACAGAAAAAGAATTATGCAACCTGTCTGGCACACAAAAGCTGATAAATCTATGTATTGGTCTTTAAACACTTTTAGTAACTTAATGGAATTTTGTCACCAATTTCTTTGTCATGTTGCACAGTGTGTGACGTAAGGAGAAAACTGTCAAAAATGAATTTCTAGGCATGTTACCAAGTGTGAATGATTCAAAATATGTGTTTAAACTCCTCACTGTTTTCAATCTATGGACCCATTACTGAACCTGTCCAGGGTGGACCTTGCCGCTCGCCCAGTGTCAGCTGGGACTGGCTCCACCCCCGTGACCCTATTCAGGAATAAGCGGTATAGATAAAACAAAGAAATATCAGACTTTACTGTCAATGCAGGCAATATTACAAAACCTTTAGTTAACTGGTGAACACAGGTTACTACTAAAACATGTAGGACGGATCCACCTTTGGATATTTAAAGGCTCAATCAATAACTTTTTCAACCATATACACTTGTAGGTACTATATTACTCCACACCTAACTTAGGAGTTGGCAGATAAAAATCCTAAAAGTCTCAGAAATATTAATCTGACAGAGAAATCCTAACCCAAGGTCCGTTAACTACCTTTTCCAGACAAGAGATCTAAACAGATCCATATCAGTGACAACTGAGCAAACTCCATCCTGCTGATGAAGACAGTGACTTGACAAAAAGCTCTGGAAAAGCTAGTTAAGGGCATCTCAAGCTGAAATTGTTCTGTGAAATTATTGACTTTAGTTTGTGTATTTACAGAGTAACTTGACCTCTAGTGGTTAAACCTCTCACCTTGCTGCAGTGATGTAGACTTGTACTCCTGGGTGTGTGAGTAATCATTATAAGGCATGGTTACAGATGCAAGGTGGTGCAACAGACTCCACAAGAGGAGCCACGTCAGACTGCTATTAAGTTACTCTTCAAAAACATGTCAGTCATTTTGACTGTGATACTAGGGTCCAGGCTTAAGATTTGACTTTTAATGGCAGGGGCCACATTTGACAACACACTGTGCCTTTAACATACAGAAAACATTTTGTGGGTCATCGTTTCTTTCAGACATGGATGACTCTCTAAGAAGGTGCAAGGATGCAATCCATGAAGCATGCTGAAGCCTTTAGATACACAGTAAATTAAACATCAGTAACACAAAGAATATTTTGGTTCCAAACAACACAATGGGTAAGGTGACCAACAGGTACAGCTGCTAAAATATTAGTGCACTCCTGAACGGGGTTTTTGGGCAACCTCAGCTCTGTGTGGAACGCGTTTCCAGTTCAGCTCTACATTTAGCGCTAGCCTTCATCATTAGCACCTACTAGGTACCATTTCAGAGGAAGCATAATAAAGCCACCCCAACTTTTCCATTCAGAAGTCCTAAACTGTGTCAACACACGAGCGCCACACAGGGTCAGTGCCTTCTGTTTAGTGAATGGAGAAATTCTTTCAGTGCTCATGAAATGAAAATGCCTGTTTAATCTAGGCTGAATTCCTACCAGTGTATTAGGACTGTGCTTTCAAGCAGCAAGCTCACTAATGTGGCCTTTGACTGCAAACCTACTAAGCAGGTTACTCCAGTATTACAGTAGTTCCCCAAAAAGTGGTTCTTGGTTATTCTCAAATGAAAATTGCACTACTGTTTTCCAAGACAAATTCACTAGTAGATTTATGCTCTAAAATATGGATCATCATATGAGTACAAGTCATATTTCACATTCTGAAGGCTCAGATCATCACATCTATGGACAAGAACCACCGACACATTCCAGACACAAATGTAATCCCTTTCAAATCTCTTGTGTCATCACTCAGGTTAACTGTCCTGACTGATTACCATCAACAACACTCAGTCTCTGTTCTGAAGGGCTGCTGCTCACATGGTAAATTATTCAACCTGTCAGTTACATGAGATCTACAGTGGAAGACAAAGGTCAGAGCTCAGGGTTTCCCCCTGCTGGGTCAGTGAGGGGTTAAATATCAAGACGAGTGTGTGTGAGAGAGTGAGTGAGAGTGAAGACGCATCCCATTTCTGGAGTCTGGCACAAATGAGCAGCTTCAGAATATTAATAAATGTATTTACCAGTTCAGTCTGATCAGATAATGACTGCAATCAGTTATGGGGAGGAGGAGTGAATCCTTGTCTCACATTCAGACAGGGAAATGTCTGTCACTTTGCAGAGAGACTATTTAGCATCAGCATGTCTTCAACAAGCCTAAGACTAAGATCTTTCTACATCATATGCAGAAACTGCTAATGTCTAATTAAATCTGTTAATTCTCTTAACTAGTGGGGACAAAAAAGACTAAGTAGACCAATAGCACGCATTAAAAGGGGCACGCCACAGATTTTACACAGTCGTATAATGTCTTTGGTGGCTCTGCAGGAAAGCAGAATTGCAATGTTAAACAGATTTGTCGAGTGACAAAAAATTTATTGACATAATCATTACAGCCATTTCATAAGCAGAAATTGTGAAGAAATTCCCCTTTAAGGTTTCTAGCAATTTTCAGTGAGGATTTACTCATCCTTCCTGAAAAGACTAAGGTAAAGATGACTAACAGGCAGATGATTTTTCCATCCATGTAATAGGTGATCCTGTGCGACAGTTCCACATATCCCACTCCTGTCTCTTTTTAAAGCTAAACTTGATTTGACCCCAGATACACATTATGCAATGGCTGATTATGTTACAAAACTTGGCTCTGAAACTGGAAAGAGAATGGGAAAATATTAATACAGGCTCACACCTGTTCCACTGGCCATTAATGTTAAGATGCCCTGTGGAACCTGTTATAACTGCCTCAATCTCCACAGATAAAGGGAGATATGATACAAAACTGGGATGGGAGAAGATAAAGAGACAGCAACGTGAAGACGGAAATGTCAAAGGAGAGCGTAAAAGCAAAAGGAGGGGCCAGGGTGATGGGGGTCATGATTTTCCGAGAGGTCCGGAAAGTTTAACAGGAAAGTTTAACCGAGCGATTTATTATAACCATAAAAGTCAAGAAGGTGGAAAGACAGTGTGAGAGCAGAAATGCACACAGACATTTACGCAGCTTCCCTCTTTTAAAGAGACATCTATATCCCCTCCAGCTTCACTTCCTAATTCTAAGTAAACACCACCTACTACAGCAACCCAAACTGAAGAGCTGTTAGCCTGAGGCGTTTAAAAAGCCACACTGTCTTCACCCAAACAAATGGACATGTCCAACATACTCAGCGTCCAAGTCCAAAGTCCACTAGCACACAGCAGCAGCAATATGCCTGGAATAACTAGAAGAGGAAGTGACATAAACTCAAACTGCACCAGTCCAGAGAAAGAGATGATACAGTGCCACCTACAGCGTACAATGAACAGGTGATCTCTGGGAAGTGCAGTGCAAATATCTCATCTCATCTATGAGCCCTTAGCACCAAATACGGTTTATGGGAAAAATGAGGATCACGCAGGTCCGAACTTAAAATATCTCTACATGAGGAATGGTCTCACTGCACACATCCGATATACAATGAGGCCATGGCATTGAGCCATAGATACAGTGCACAAAAAACAGAGTACAATCTCTCACTGTCAGCATCAAACCCAAACAGTCTTGTCTGTGTTTTGACCTTCATTACTAGCATTTTGGAACATTATGGCGCCAGTGTGACCGTGTGAGGCTTTAAGTCGGTGAACTCCACCCTAAACTGCTCTGTTTCATTATGTCTGCGTCAGCTGCCCTAAGAGGGAAAGCTAGATGTCAGGTCCATCAGGATAAATTAACAGCACAGACACACAAACATACACTCACACACAGAGAAGTCTGGAAGTTTTCTTAAGCTGGAGCCAGGATAGACATGGAGGTATGACTGGAGGAATGAAAGGGTTAATGGCGTTTGTTTTAGAGAAGGATGCCAGGTGGACCACACAGTGGTCCATAAGAGGCTGGCTCTGACAGAAGAGTTCCCAACCTAGATGAAGTCCCAGTAGTCCCAGTATATAACCTGTTACACACTCCCTCCTCTCTTTCTTTGTCTTGTCTCATTCTGGGATCTGCAGGGCCATCACTGCAGGTTTGGTCTTGAAGTACTGGTTGAATCGTAGCACAGCATACCTGCATAAAGAAAGAGCAAGAAGAATCCCCCTTCATATCTGAAGTACCTTCCACTTTTTGTGTAAAAACAAGATACTGCAGCTACTGTGTGCATCTTCCCACTTTTCAAAACACAAATGATGAAACAAGATAGATTTTTGCTTTATTACACACTGAATACCTGGGTGGACCCATTGTGCTGTTAAGTTTATAATCCACCCAAAAACTGGAGGCTAGCAATCAATGCTAACTAGTTCTAGCCTGGTAAAGTTAACAGTAATTCCCAGTGGATGTTACTTTTTATTCGTGTCACTTCAACATCTGCCAAGTCTCACACACACAGTGTTGTGTTTGTTCTCTATTGTGGTTACAGCAGATGACCAGACAAACAAAACTCAGAGCAACAAGTAGTTCTGTAACCTCAGCACTTTATACGTTATTGCGTGATTAAATCATAACTCAGTAACTAACACATGGACTCGCAGAATAATGCAGGGAGTGCTACAATCCCTAAGCAACAGCAAAGGTCAGCCAACTGTGTTTAAGGTGATGTTACAGTAGAAGCATTTTGTATTGCCAAAAAAAATCATGACTGTTATCTTCTACCATTCCGAACCGATTCACAAAATACCAAATATCTATTTTAATATGTAACTAACAACATTCTGTTGATAAGACAAGGCAGGAAGGACCCACCCACGAGGGCACAGTACAGCACCCAGATAGTGTACAGCAACCACACACAAGTATTACCTTGTGCATCATCTAACAAGACAAACATCTGCATGCATTTTGGATCTAAACATAATCATTAGCTTTGCCAGACACAGATGTGCGTTCTGAATTTCTACATCATTACCCAGAAACGAACATTATTTTCGCAAAGTCACACTGTAGCACTGTATAAAACGTTCAACCAACTCTAGAGAAGTGAAAAATTTAATTCAGTCCACGGTGTGTTCAATTTCAAATACCTGTTATCTCTACAATGCTGTGGGTAATGAGAACTTTCGCTTTGTGAGATTCTGAATCGAATCATTACAACAAGAAATAAAATCAAATTGTAGGATGCTGAAAGATCACCCTTAGCACATTTCCTCTTTTTGCTAATTACAGCTTTGACCAAATGATCAAAGCTATCACCAGGTATATTAATGCCAATTTCCTAGCAAAAGATAATATTAGTTTCAGTTCAACTTTAATAAGCCACTATTCTCTGGAGCAGTAGTTAAATTAGCAGAGGGGCCTTTTTGACAGTCAAATGTGCAGGCAAGGCAGGAGCGATTGGGTTGCAGTTCATGAACTTCCTTAGGTCTGCTCCCTCTGTGTGTTTCACAGGTGCATGCGCACCTACCACTTATGTAATATCTTACCCAGGGGGTTACCACACACATTACTCTTTCAAACAGACATATAGCAACTTACCCGAGGAAGTCAAAGTCGATGGAGGAGTATTTGGCCTGGATGAGTGCCCAGAAGCCCCAAAAGAGGTGAGAAGCCTTGAAAAAGACAAATAAGATATCAGATGAGGTGGAGTAATGTAAGACACAGTGTGTAAGAGATAATGTATATTTGCTAACATAACCATCCTCACCAGAGCAAACTTGTTGACCTGTACATAGAGCGTCTCCAGCTCTCGAGGGCTAACCTCCTCAGTTTTCTTGGTGAAGAGTTTGTACGCCTGCAGGTACACTGTGAGCCAGTCCATCTGCATCTCCCGACTGGGGTACAGCCCATAGTTCAGCTCACTCATGCCTGATCACACAAACAGGCACGCACACTTGTATAAGAACACATGAATTTACTACTTATTTTCACTTACCAATCACACTGCAGTTCAACAAACCTGCAAATTCATTGAAGTGGTTGCCGATGTCAAAAGCCTGGTAGTTGTAGCTGGAGTATTCGTAGTCTATGAAGCGCACATGACCTGAAAAACACATAGCTACAGTGTATAAATGTGTAGCAACTCAAAAACAGTTCTGATATCTTCACCCCAACCAGCCACAGAGAAGAAGACATTTAGCATGCAGTCTGTTGCTGTTTCTAAACTGCATGACTGACCAGAACGAGACCGGAATGGGCTTTCATTCATGTGTTTTCTCTGCTGATGCTGTAGGAAAGCTGTCAGGGAAAGGACACACTGTTCCATTGAGGCCAGGTCTGTTTCCATTGCACCAGAACTCTGGTAAATATCCCCGGTGTTCAGGTGTTAAAACATATAGCAATAATGACACCTGATCACCTTTACATTCATACTTATCTTATCACAAGGTGAGTATCTAAGCTAACTATATACGGTAATCAGAGCCAATGGAGAAGCTTGCTTTCTTTGAGTGATGTGACCTTTAATCCTGTTTGGCTGATCGTCTTCTTTAGACGATGGTCAGACTGTACAGATGTCACTGACACCTGGCTGACATCAGATCACAGGACCACCTCCAGAAGTGGTTATTTACACTTGCATTAACATGCAGACGCAACATTCTGATACAGAACATATGTCAATACCGGGTGTAAATGGGGCCTAAAATACAGTTGGCAGAAAATTAACCGGCAACCATTTTTATACCTAACTGTAGTAACTGCAATTTTTTAAAGCAATAATGACAGAAATTCACTGGTCCAGCTTCTACAATATGAATAGATGCTGTTAGACTGGTCTTTTTTCCTAGTACAGTCAATAGTCCTGGGCTTTGGAAAACTGATTGGCATGTTTGACTGTTGTCTGATGTAGCTAACAATCAACTGAGAGAAGCATCAATGGATAAATGATGATAAAATGATAAAAAAAATAAACCGTAGTTGCATCTCTAGACTAAAAATGTGTAATACATGACTCCACATCACAAACATCTGTATCACCTTTGGCACTGCAGTATGGACAGCCTGTTATAAAGATGACAGTCAAATGGACAATACTCAGTTTAGGTAGAGGGTACCTACCCTCTTTGCTGTTGTAGATGATGTTCTTACAGAGAAGGTCATTGTGGCAGAGCACCACAGGGGAGCCAAGTGTGGAGAGATGCTCCTTCATCCACACCATCTCCTGCTCCAGCACTGCTTGGCTGGGAACCTCCTGCTGGATTCTGGACAGAGAGCACAACGATAGGAAAAGAGGGACAAAGCTCAGCTTTCTCTATGTCAATGTATTTATATAGCATATTTAAAACAGCATGAGTTTGCCAAAGTGCTGTAATGGTAAAATAAGTTACCAAGTATAAAAGGAAAAAGGAAAGGTGCCACATTCTGCTACAGTATACCTATGAGCAGTGTGTAAAATAATAACAGGTAGGGGCAAATGGGGCAAAAGAGGGAAACAAAAACAGGGCTATCATAAAGAGTAAAGACTAATGAGCCAGAGCATAACAGTGTGTCTTCAGCAGAGATTTAAAGGCAAACACTGTAGGAGCCAGTCTAATATGTAGGGGCAGCTGAAGAATCACAATCCACTCTAGAACGTTTTACATTTAGCAACAACGAGAAGTAGATAGTCGGCAGGTTGAAGAGATTTAGGGGGAACAATATGGTATGAGTAGTTCTGACCGATTGGGGGGGGGCATTTAGTGCCTTCAAGACTATCAATAAAACTTTTTTTAACTGAATCCAGAAACAAACAGGTGACAAATGTAAAGCAGCTAAAACAGGAAACATATGGTCTCTTTTCTGAGTATGTTTGAGGAAATGGGCCACCATATTTTGAACAAGCTGGAGACAGTTCGGGGAGGAGAGGCAGACACTAGATATAGAGCGCATTGCAGTAATCTAAACGACCTGAAACACAAACATAAATAAGTTTCTCAATATCTTTTTTTCAAAGAATGGTTTAACCTAAAAGCCTTAATTGATGGAACCTTAAGCTAACCACAGATTGTCCAATTTAAGGGCATTGTTGAATATAACACCCTGTGTTTTTGTTTGTTTGTTTGTTGTTTTTTTTTAGATGATTTTAGATAGGAGTTTAGAAACCCTAGGTTATCAACATTGGAGCCTGCAACTACCACTTGGGCCAAAAATAATAAGTTCAGTTTTGTTTTCAATCAAATTTAGAAAGTTAGAGGCCATCCAACACAATGGAGGGTGGCCGCCTTAATTTTACTCCCACACAAGTCAATAATGTTGTTGATACTGCTACAGCCTCCCTGTGTACACCACCTGATACTGTTGCCCTTCTGAAAAAGAAGGCAGTGAAACAAGAGACTAGCCCCGTGGTACAGCTCGCAGCTCCACTCCCTAATACTGTATAAACATCATGAAAACTGGAAAGGAGGTGGCGCTCCACTAAGTCAGAATGGTTTTTTCTAGAATGGAAAGATAGTTTAATAACATATAAAAAATCCATTTGTAGTACCAGAACAGCATAATATTCATTACTGATAGAGAAAAATCAGAACAACCCCAGGTTTCTTTTCAGCACTGTAGCCAGGCTGACAAAGAGCCACAGTGCTGTTGAGCTTAACATTCCCTTAGATCTCAGCAGCAATGACTTCATGAGCTTCTTTACAAATAAAATCACAACTATTAGAGAAAAAAAAATTATCAAATCCTTCCCACAACTCTCACAAATGTATCAACAAGAATAACAGCTTTAGAAACCTCAGTTATACTTAGACTTCTTCACACACATAGATCTCTCTGAGTTGACCTCAACAATTGCTTCATCTAAACCATCAACATGCCTCTTACTCTATCCCGACCAGGCTGCTCAAAGATGTTCTACTCCTATTCAAAATGTTCACATTAGATCTGATCAACCTCTCTCTATTAACAGAATATGTTCAACAGGCTTTTAAAGTTGCTGTAATTAAACCTCTACTCAAAAATCCTACTCTTGACCTTCCTTTTATTCCTAAAATCATAGGAAAATCTGCTGCTAAGCAGTTATGTGACCACCTTCACAGGAGTGATTATTTGAGGATTTTCAGTCTGGTTTTAGAGTCCATCATAGTACAGAAACTAAACTGGTGAAAGTCACCAACGATCTCCCCCTGGACTCAGATAAAGGACTCGTCTCCATACTCGTCCTCTTAAATCTCAGTGCTGCTTTTGACACCATTGATCACAGCATCTTATTACAGAGCTTTGAACATGTTATTGGGATTAAAGGAACCACATTAAGATGGTTAAATTCTTATTTATCAGGAAGATTCCAATTTGCTCATGTTAATGATGAATCTTCCACACAAACTGAAGTTAGTCATGACGTTCAACAGGGCTCTGTGTTAGGTCCAATTCTCTTCACTTTATACATGCTCCTTTTAGGCAATATTATCAGGAAACACAGCATAAATTTCCACTGCTATGCAGATGATACTTATTTATATTTATCTATGAAGCCAGACGAATCTGATTAGTTGGTCACACTTCAACCATGTCTCAAAGACATAAAGGCCTGGATGACTTGTAACTTCTTATTTCTAAACTCTGACAAAACCAAAGTCATTGTGCTTGGGCCTGAAAACCTTAGAAATCTGCTGTCTAATCCTATAGTTCCTTTAGATGACATAGCTCTTGCCTCCAGTACTACTGTGAGGAACCTTGGAGTCATTTTTGATCAGCATATGTCCTTTAAATCACACAAACCAAGTCTCTGGAACTTCTTTCACCAGCGCAATATTGGGAAAATCAGGAGCATCCTGTCTCAAAGTGATGATGAAAAACTGGTCCATGCATTTGTTACTTCCAGGCTGGACTACTGTAACTCTTTACTATCAGGATGTCCCAATAACTCCCTAAAAAGTCTCCAGTTAATCCAAAATGCTGCAGCCAGAGTACTGACAGGAACTAGCAAGAGAGATCATATCTCTCCTATAATAAAATAAAGCTGCTGCTTCTTCTTTTCTCTCTCCTCTATCCACTCACACCAACCGGTCAAGGCAGAAGGCCGCCCACCAAGAGCCATGGTCTGCCCGTGGTTTCTTCGGTTAAAGGGCGTTTTTCCTCCCCACTGTCGCCAAGTGATTGCTCAAGGGGATTTGTTGGGTTTTTCCTATATAATATTAAAAGTAAGGTCTAGACCTTACTTTGTAGTGTCCCGAGATGACCTTTGTAGTGATTTTGCACTGCACAAATAAAGTTGAATTGAATTTAATTGAATCCAATGCTCTAACTTCTGACGAACAATTGAAGGATTTGAAGGGTTGTTACCTGTCAGTTTCAGGGGAAGATAAAGCTGGATATCATCAGCAAAACAATGGCATGAATTTCCATGTTTTTTGATGATAGAGCCTAAGGAAAGGACAGATAGAAGAAATAAAACTGGACCAAGGATGGAGTCTTGGGGGACACCGTAAGACAAAGGATTGTCATACCCCTAAAATAAACCAGCTAAAACCAGCTCCCCATTTACCAGCTGCAACAATAAATGTGATGTTCACAATAATGCATCAGTAATTATAATACAATAACATGATATACAGGAATGTGAAATGTACCATTCTGCATAATGAGTATTCTTACATTTAGTACTTTAAGTATGCTTTGATGCCAATACTTTTGTACTTTTACTTAACATTTTTAACTCAGGACTTTTAATTGTAATAAAGTATTTTTACACTGTTGTATTGTTACTTTTACTTAAGTAAAGGTACCAAGTACTGAGTACTTCCACCACTGGTTCTAAATGTACCTTAAAGGGAACCTGAGGTAACTGTGATTACTGAGAGAAGTCCAGTAGTCTTTGGTCTTGTCGGGAGAAACACCGGGCAGGGCTTTGAAGCTGAACTTGTCATTCAAAAGACTCTTTCCTTTATCTATTTCTGTTCATTTCTGCTGAGCATTGCATCCCTATTTCCTAGACTACGGGGTGGGCCGAGGGTCATAATCACAGAATGTGCATGTGTTAATCATGTGTCAAAAAATGTATGGTATTAACAGGAATTTGCATTAAGTTATTATTATTGCATTGACAACCCTAAAAAAAGTACTGTGATTATATTTTTTGTCACAATGCCCAGCCCTCCAGCTCTGGTGACTGAGAACTATTTTGCACAACACTGGCCCCATGAGCATGATAAAGGAAGGTGACAGGAATAGTTTTACTAGTTGTTACTGACCAAAATAAACTGCCAGTGTTTTGGTACCATTGTTAGCTGGAAACATATGTGACATGAAAACAACAGAGACCAACATGCACAGACAATGCCTGCTGGCTCCTGAGAGCACAGCTCCAGAGAAACAAGCTCTCAGTGGAGTCTTATGGCACTGCAGAGTGCACCTAAGTCACTATGGATTATAAACATTTGTTCTGTGATTTATTCCATACAATACATGCACATGGCATTTGTGCATCTCCTGCAGCTTTACTGTACAGTATTTAGATACATTTCAGTTCTTTTCCAATTCTGTGCATATGACACAGGCCTTCTGAACATTCATGCATCTGTCCAGGTCAGGTCAAACTCAGTGACCCATCCAGATCAACAGCAGACAGTTTTGACATGTGTTAGCCAGTAGACAAAGGGTTAAGTCACAGAGTTAGTGACTCAGCCAAGCAGATCAGAGTACTGAGCAGAAACCCCTGTGCTAACTGTAACATGGTTAAAGGGCTTAATTCACAGCCAGCCTGATAGCAGGAGAAGAGAGCAGGGAGGGAGCCTGGGTAACACACACACACCCTCTTGGAGACGTCTTCTTGGACCACTGCCTCTCGTCCACTTGTGGCCTCTCCTAAAATCTCAGGTGTTCAATCCCTGCCTGTTGTACAGCAACAATACCACATCTGTGAGAGGTATTTTTGGAATAATTCTCCATTAGACCAGAATCTTAGACTTCATATCTATAAAAATGACCACTAGCATGCGGTCATACAGTATGCTTCAGATTGCAAAGCAACAAGTCCACTGCCCAGGACGAGGACACTCCAGCGTTACCAAGGAAGAGGGGAAAGTGATGTGACACATAGAGCTAAGCAAACATCTGCTGGCCTACTGCATGCCTCAGACTCACTAATCCACTCAGCTATTATTGTTACAGTTACATAAGCCACATGCTGGACCTAATCCAATAGCCATTAGAACAAAGATATCACCTGTGACTGGGCAGCTGGCCAGGTTATGAAACAGTCTACCTTTGTCTGTTCTATAGGTCC